GGGTTAGTGTGTTACAAGAGATTATGTATGTAGAATGAGTTCAGGTTCCTTGGAATATAGCCACATTTTTTTTTCCTGTCTCTCTTCCTTTAGGGCTGAAGCACTGATTGAAATGAATTATGGTAATGCTTGACAACACTCTGTACACTGACCTTCTTTTATGCCTGCATAGCCATTGGGAAAAGAAATTTACAAACTGTAGCCCAAACCAAACAGAATGTACCAGGTACTACAATCATGAGCAATATTAGAAAACCATGCGGAATCATCAAAAATAGAGTTTGAGCTTTGGATCATACATAAAGATTTTAAAAGAGCTTAGAAGAGTTTTCAGAAGCAGAAACCTGAGCCAGTGATAGCAATGTTGACAGCAGTTCTTGAGCTGGCAAGCATGCCAGGGTTTGCTTGTCATGTTCCACATTTGCTCCACCACTTAGTACCAGTGGTGCAGTATGAAATCCTGTAAATGGCCAATAGTTAGCCTCTTAAGGGCCTCAATTAGCAGCTCTTAAGCATTTGTTTCATAAATTCCACAGCAGATGCCAGCCCTGCAAACAAGGCATCAGCAGAGATCACAGCACAGGATAAATTGATGTGAGGCAATTTGACAGTCTTTGTCTTTCAAGAGTCTTTTATTCAGCCATTGAAAATGTGGTGGCAAAGTGGTAATGTTAGTGGGCACAGAAGTTAAAGTTTCACCGTGGCACTTGGTGAAATTTTAATTGAATAAAAGCTGGAATACACAGCTAATCTAATGGCATCTATTCAAGCACTTTCAATTGTCATAAAGACCAACTGGTTCACTAATGTAATTTAAGGAAGGAAATTTGCCATCTTTATCTTGTCTGACTTACATGTGACTTCAGACCAACAGCAATTAGCTCTCAACTGTCCTGAGAAATGGACAAGAGAGCCAATGACTTCAAGGGCAATTAGGGATAGGCAACAAATGCTGGCCTTGCCAACAATGCCACCATCTCATATAAGAATAAGAAGTACAGCAGATGATCTCACCTGACCCCATCAAAGTTCTGAAGCTCCATTTCCAATGTTTCTTGCTGATAGAAGAACTTCAGCTAATATACTTTATACCTATTCTACACGTGTTCATTAGGTTAGTCGGAATTCCATTCTATCGCCAGTCCATGGTTTTTTGTTATTTTCAGAAATTTGCCTAAATATTTGTTCTTCTATTTCCCTTAACTTTGGGACTCAGTGATGTGACTGTCACTTTTTGAGATCCACAATAATCTATGGAGCACTGATTCACTCTGTAAGAGAACAACTGGATGTTTATGACACAATATAGGTATTAAATGTACTTGCTTTCAATCCATTGTATACCACATTAGATTTATGTGTCAGCAGGCTGTGGATGCTGAGTCATGAGTATATTCAAGGCTGAGATCAATATATTTTTGGACTCCAAGCGTATCAAGGGAACAGATACTAAAGTAGAGCTGAGATCGAGGATCAACCATGATCTTATTAATTGCCACAGCAGGCATAAATGGTCATATGGTCTACTCCTGCTTTTATTTCTTATGTCAGCACAAGTCAGACATCACATTCCAGATGGCATGGTTTTTAGAGGTGAACAACAATCTGAGAAATGCAGACTGAAAGCACCCAGTGTTTTAACCACCAGCCTAATAGTTCCCAACTTCCAAAGTTATTTCATACAACTGTGAAATTCCTGAGTAACCCTAGGCTATATTCATAACAGCAATTAGACTTTGTGGTTGAAGAGTGAGTTTCAGCATTTGTTTCCTGTTTTAAATATGTACTAAGATCAATCAATTATTTCCAGATAACTAAAAATCTATAAGCCAAACTTTTGCATCAGTTAAAGTAATGGAAATCATTCTTAAGGGAGAAATGTTGTATAGGAACAACCTAAGATATAAAAAAAACATGATTTTAGTAACAAAAACAAATTATAAATAATAAAAATTCAATGTTCTGCTATCTTCAGATGTCGAAAGTAAACATTGGGATTCCTTGATATAATTTATTCCAAAGTGTTTTAATAAAATTCCACATAAGAAGCATTAATTGAGCTACAACCTGAAATCAGAATGATTACAAGGAGAGCATTCCATTTATTCTGTCCTGCTGGCTCTTTGCTACAACTATCCAATTAGTCTCACTTTTTGCACTTTCTCCATTACCCTATGTTTTTATTCCTTTCCAAACTATTTATCCAAACTCCTTTGGACATTCATTATTGAAACTGCTTCCACCATCCTTTCAGTTAGTGCATTACAAATTACTCTCTTGTCATCTTGGTTTTCTGTTTACAAATACATTGAACCAAATCTTCTGGTTAAGTTTCTATCACTAAAAACCATTTCTGAAGTGTGATGCCCAAAATTGAGCACAATATTCCAGCTGAAGTCTTACTTGTGTTTCATGTGGACATAGCATAGTTTCTTTGCTTTTGTATTTCA